GCCCTGATTTTGAGGCCTCCCTCAGGCCCAGTAACAGCATTTAGTGACTCATGTTAACGCTGTCATGAACATTCCATCACTGCCGACTTCTCTCCAGCTCCAAGGAGCATGACATGCAATTTTGGCCACAGTGTGGTCCCCTGGTGGGTGCACTCCAGGCCCCAGCACCTTGTCTCCCCTGCTCAGGGGGGCCAATTCTTGAGTCATTTCACAGGGGCAGTGGGGAACCCTGTGTCAAGGCTTGGACAGAGACATGCTTTTTCTTCCTTCATGACTGATCTCACTGCTGGTGTCGAGGACCTGGTTGGAACCTATGCTCAGCCCAGGCTGGTGGAAGCTCTCTGCTGTGCGGTGCTGAGGCCAAGGGGGCTGAAGACATGGTATGACTATCAGCACTCCCAAAGCCCCACTGGGAGCTGAAAATGCTATTCAAAACCAGAAGGATGCAAGCTTCTGTTCTTTAGGAAACGGAGTTAAAATATTCCAAGTGGCTTTCTGGCATTTTAACCTCTCAGTGTTGCTTTTAAGTATTCAGAAGCAAATGATCTTCAAAACGATGTATGTGCGTATGTTTATTAGCTTATTACTGCTGAACCTAGTTACTTGGTCACTAACATTATTTTTTTTTTTTAATTAATAGACTTTACACTTTAGAGAAATTTTAGGTTTACAGAAAAATTGCACCGAAAGTGGAGTTTCTGCTGAGGGGTAGAATTAACAGGTTCCTTAGGGAAAATGTCCTTGTTTTGGCTAATTTTGACTCATGGACTAAGGCCTGGTAATGTCCAGTCAACACTGGTCGGTACCAGAAGGCTTCAGGATGAGATTGTTCATGCTCAGTAAAGGGGTCCTAGGTTGTTAATACGGCCCAGGTGGTCACCAGAGAAGGAGGAATCTCATGGAGTTGAAGGGGCTGCAGCAGCTCTGAGTGCCAAGACCCATCAGCCTGCCCACACTTTTAGGACAGAGGGTCTTCATCAAGGAACAGAGGGTCTTCATCCAAGGACAGAGGGTCTTCCTCCAAGGACAGATGGTCTTTATCAAAGGACAGACAATCTTCATTCAAGGACAGAGGGTCCTCATCAAAGGACAAAGGATCTGCATCCAAGGACAAAGGGTCTTCATAAAAGGACAGAAGGGCCACAGGCCCTGCACGTGTTCCTGAGGGGCAGCCAAGACCCCCCAGACGCAGAGTCCCTGGGGCCTGGAACAAGCCACACCAGCCACGGGCCTCTCCATTTCCTGAACGGATCCAACACCTGTGTCATCCAGGTTCCTTATAAACTAGAACTTGCTGTCTCAACAGCTCCAGGACAGATGGTTCCAGATTTAGGGGCTGATAGCAGGCAGGCATCCTGCCAGCCCTAGGACTCAGGCGGGGGATGCCGAGGACCAGCCAGGGGTGCTGTGATGCTGGCTGTGGCTGGGCAGGGCTGCCCAGCTGGGACAGCTCAGGTCAGATAAAGCCCTGCTGGCTGGAGGTCTACCCAGGGGGTGTCCCAGGGTCCTCAACGTCTGTCTCTCCACAAGCTTGAGACGCTGTCTGAGCTGAAGGGAGCCAGGAAGAGCGCCCTGTGAATGGACTACCACCTGTCTGCAGCAGTTGCCCTGGAGACAAGCTGGGGAGGTCTTAGAGACTCCTGGGACCAGGCCCTTAATCACACAGGACGGAGAGGTGTGGGCTTCTTCCCATCTCAGCAAAAGGAGCCTGCCCCCCTGCCCCTAGTTCTTCCATCTCAGCCCATTGGGAGGAGCATCAGCCCTGGAGGCCCATCCCAGACAGAGGGTAGGACCCCCCCCCATGTCAAAGTCTGGCCAGGGTGGCACTGGAGCTGGGGCAGGTGGCACTGGGGCTGAAGGTGTCCAGGCATCCATCCAACCCCCTTTCCTGGGAGACTTCCTTGACTCAGCCTGTCTTTGGGGTGGGGGGCAGCCATCTCTGTGCACCCAAGCCTTCAGGGCTGGTTCCCTCTGAGGGTGTGAGTGTGTGTGCGTTGTGTGTGTGTGCAGGCACACGTCAATCAGTGGGAATTTCTGTGAAAGAAGCAGCCAGATTCCACAGACAGACAGAAAAGAGGAGGGGGAAGAACAAGGGAGGGGAGGAGAAAATTGGGGGTGG